ATATATATATAATCTAGATATATATTCATTTATTTTTTTATTATTGATGTTTTTTTATGAATGGACATTATAAAATCCCTATGATTTTCTTTCATCTGTTCTGTTCCTACCTATCCATTGGTATAGCAAAACCAGGATATGGGCATCTTCCAGACAGAAGTCACACTGGTACCCAATGGGACTGGTGATGATTATTTTGACAGTCTGGTGAAGGCAGGACATACTGGGCAATCAGTTGAGGGTCTGTTAACCTAAAAAGGTTAAAGTGGACCATCTATGAAAAGGAAAGGTAAGCTTTACTCAGAGCCCCCCACCTTGGTCGGGCTTCTGACTCCTCTGGGAGGCATGGTTGATGTCACCGTGGCTCCTGGAAGATTTGGTCTTTCAAAATCCTTTTGTGCACACTCCTGCAATGGGTCGGAGTGGTTTAGGTGGTTATTCCTGTGCTTTAATTCATCATGGTCTGTGTGATGAGTGGCAGAAGTAGGGGTGTGCCCGTTGCCTAAATATTCTGTTGTAAGAGCTTTCTCTCTTTTCTATCTGAAAACGACCTTACTAACCAACCTTCAACTTAATGTTGTGTTCATGTGCACAGCTCCATATCAGCAGGATACCCCCCCTTACATGCAACACATACAAGAGCTTCCTCTGTCAATGCTACTTAAAAAAAGAAATAATCAACATGTTAGCTGTTGAAGGTAAAGAGGCTCTGATTTATCTTCAGCTATGGAGGGATTTCACAGATGTTTTCTTCTAATTCCTGGAAATCTACAGATGGTTTTATTGAAGCGGAAAATATCCTGAGAGAGATTGGAGCTCCCTGCACGCGAGCATGGGGGAATGCAGCAAGCTCCTTTCAGCACACAAGCGGAATCCCGTGGCCTGATTGTGCCAGTTCTGTCACCGGTCCTCACAAAACCGTCCGCTTGTTAGAGGCAACAATGTGCAATGTGTTTTTTCAGTCCCAAAACCCTTATCTTTTCCCTTCCACATCATTAGATGTTTCATTAGCGCCTATACAGAGAGAAGATTGTTATGTGGTCAGAAAATGTTGTAAAGCAGACTTTGGGAACCTTGAAATGGTATCTATGGTCAAAATACTTAAAATGTAATCTGTATTTCTATATATTGAATTTCCATAAGTTCTATCCCACTCCTAATAATCATATCCATCTACAAGTGTGTAAACTTACTAATTGAATATGCCCATAGGATGTACTTCCTCTGACACAAGTACACTCTAATTAAGCCTGCTTTCCAAACTACAATTCAACATCTCAACTTTTCACAATGTACCATCATCATTGCTTGTTGGAAGCAATGCATGATGGGATATTTAGTCTTGGGAAATCGAGTTTGCATCACATCAAGCAGCAGAGAGAGAAATGCAAAGCATACTGGGAATCCAGGATGTTGGTGATAGTGATGGGCAGACAGAAGGTAGCACTCACTACACAAAAGGAGATTGCATTATCAATAGAGATGCACCGATACCGGTATTTCGGTATCGAGTACGAGTTCCGATATATTTTTTCCGGTACTCACCAATACCGAATACCGATACCGGAAGTCCCATTAAGGAAGCTAGGCGGTGTGTAAAGACTCGCCACCTGGCTTACCAGAGAAAGCATAGAGCCGGCTTTCTGGCCAATCAGAAAGCCAGGTGCCGTGTAAAGAGTTAGAGAAAGTAAAGGGAGATCTAGTAACCTGCCCTTAATTAAAATGGCCACTGTCAGAAGACTGGGGAAGAAAAGAAAAATAAGGTATGCAAAAAATAAAAAGCCTGCAAGTATCTATAAGTATCTGTTTGTAGATTGTCATTACTAAAAATGTCTAAAGGTGTTTTTGTTGCTATTTTGAAGATCTGGGTAAAGTTTCTCTTTAAGGATACATTGGGCTTTAAATGGCTCCTGAGGATTGCCAAAGCTCCCTTGAGCTACCCTGTATGTTAGGCTTACAGAACACTCCCCTCTCTAATCATCTCCATAAATGAGAGAAGGTGTTCTGTATTCCCTGGTGGTGAAGTAGGCATTGCTGATAACACTTCTTGAGATATCACCCGAGAATGCACAGGAACTCGCAAAGCCACTGATTTCCCTGCAGGATCAACAAGTATTTGTTTACACTCATCGAACAGCTATAACAAAATGCTTTAAATTATCCATTTAACAACCAAGAGGGAAGACATAAGAGAGGTTTATTGTAGAGTTTACATACACTTCTTCAGGTACCCTCCAATGCAAAGGCTTGAGTAGATAGCTAAAGGTAAATGTATTCGCATTCACTTCTGTTAACACATATGCCTACAAAGAGCACAGAGGGACATCTGTCTCCAGACCCAGGAGATCATGGGGCCTAACCATACGTACAGTTGACCCCATTTATCAGACCTGAGCTCTTGTAACATTCCAGACAGTAGGATCTGTAATTTCATTCTCTAGTGTTATTAAAGTAAATCCGTCATGAAAGAAACATGTGGGCTGTCATTGCCGATCTCCCTCTAAAAATGCTGGTTCCCTGGCTATTTACCTGATCCCCTGGCTTTAATACATTGAGTCACGGACCTGACACAGGTAGGCAGAAGTGTAAAAAGTCTATATCTGCATTTTTTCCCAGTTGAATGGCTCAAAGTATTGATGCAAGAGGGTCTACGTGACAGCCATGCAACCAGTATATTTTAGGAAAGGAAAGTAATAGCAACTTCAATGACCCTCTCGTGTTTTCTTTAAACTAAAGCTGGCCATACACATTAAGAATGACCAAATCTGAAAAATCTACTCTTTCTTGCAAAGTTTGTATGAACCAGTTAGGTACCAAGACTCTAATAAGGTCTATGATTTTGAGGATATGTACCCGAGTCTTTCTATATTGAAACGTTCTGCCTATAGACACGCTTCCAATCATGCCATATGTATTTTGTTTTTCTGTTCATTCCCAGAGTAATTGCTCAACTTTGTAAAGTATTCTGATCTGACAGAAGGAACACAAGTAAGGAACCCATGCTGAGCCAAGTCACAGCCACCAGCCTATGGGTTATTATTAGCCTAAGTCAAGCCATTGATGAGATGAAGTATAGCAATGCATTACAGTCACTGGACGGGCGCCTTTCATTGCTATCAAGGCCATTTAGCTTATGGTACATCAAGAAACAGCTTGTTAAGTGCCGATAAAGGGGGATGGAATGGTGTCAGGCTGTCTTAAACACACTTCCTCTTGATTTGACATCTTTATGTCCCCTGTTGACTCTCCGAAAGGCCATTTATCTGACAAATAGAAGGGAGATTTAACCTATATACATCCAGGAGATTAAAGAGCAGCAGGCAGCCCTTATTTCAAAAATCGCCAAGCTGGATATGTAATGAATTCAGTTAACAGAAAGATCTAATAAACGAGGAGTAATTATTGGACAACTGGGGCAATATAACTCAGAGAAGACACATGGCACAGGCCGCAGGGCCAGCTTTTATGTACGGGAAACTTTACAGCTTAGTTAGCTTATATTTGTTAAATCTGACAGCCACTGGGAGCTGCATCTGAGTATTCTTGAGAAATGTCCACTGCTGTCTCCACCTCCTCGGTCCAGCACCGGCCCAATTAAAATTCCTAAATGTTCCCTATGACATAGCAAATCTTCACTTTTGCATTTAGGTCCTCTTTAGGAATGATAAAAAAAATTGTCCCAACTGACTCACCAGATATCAGACTTGGAGTTGTAGCCGTCCTGAGTGAAGATCTCGGGGCTCATGTAAGAAGCAGTTCCTGTTATAGTAGTTGCCATTTCAGATGGCACAAGGACGCGAGACACTCCAAAGTCACCTAATTCACAAATTAAATCAAAAGCATTAGGTCTGTCTAAATGTTCTCTGACGTGCTGGGATTCTGATGGTTAGAAGCAGCCAGTGAAGTCATAACTCCCAACCTGCATACCCTTACTGGGTCAGGAGCTCAGAGTACACTGAAACCACAGGATCAGCATAACAGACGGGCAGCTAGCAAGCTCCTTATTTCTCATACAACAGGTTTCCTGTAAAGTGGAACTCCAGCAAACTTTTTAGGATGAAGGATGAGACCGTGTGTCATATTTTTGCTGTGTTTATCCTTGTCAATGGATTTCCCTGCACTTCTCCTGGTGGCAGTGTCATTTTACTATGTGATAAGTGGCTACAGGGCTGTCAAAGAGCTCTGTGAATAGCCTGCTGAATTTGGTTTCAGGTCTATGACCACTGTTACAAGGAGAAGAAGAGAGGGGGGATCTTTTCAATGGGGGCACAGGCAGCAAAACCCAACACTGATCTTAAAGTGAATGTATGTCCAAAACTTTTTTGTTCTTGTTTTGGATAGAGTAAGGAAGTGTTAACAACCCCAATCCAGTTGTTTTTTGCTGTCCCTATCCTGTTGTGGAGATGTCCCTTTACTGCAGTGCTAGTACATTTTAGGAATATAGGGGCCTCAAGTGCACCCCCGACATGTTTATGGGGCCACACAATAGTTTAACTTTCATAAATTTGATTTGCATGGTAACCTGTGCAGAGCTGTACATGTGTTGTGGTGCCTTTCATTTTGAATGACACCCCAACTCGCTGCTCCAGTACTGGGCAATGCACTTGTGTTGCAGTGTACTCCGATGCATATGCTGTATGTTGCGGCGTGCTACATTAAATAAGTCATGTCTGATTTTTTTATGTGTTAAGATGTACTAAAATGTATTGAATTGAATGACATTGCGCTTGCTTACACAATGAATGCAAATGTCACCCAGATCTTTTGGCATATTTGGTGTGACCCTAGGAAAAAATTTACATTTATTTTTATTTTTACATTTTATTTGTTCATGAGGGTGCTGGATATAGTCAACGGAGACCTGATCCCCCCCCCCATGCAGCTATGCAGCAGCAGATCACTTCTTACAGTAATCTATTACTGGCTGCAAACAGCCAGCAATAGGTCACTATAGCATCGATCTAACGTAGGAGGGAGCGGCTGGACAGAGCTGCTTCATCTTTTCTGGGCCTCTTTTCTCTCAGGAAGTGACATGACATCACTACTCTTCCAATCGAAACACAGTATAGAAGCATTGTTCAACACTGTGTTTACATTGCCTGCAGCCAGCGCTCTTATGTTTGGTAGCAGGAGCAGAAGCCCCCAGGAGCTGATCGATTCAGCTCCTAGGCTTAGTGCTGGACTTTGATTGTCCGCAAAGTCTGTCTGAGCCGCTGTCACTCAATGTGCAGCCCACTGTGCTCTAGACCTCATTAAAGGTCTGAAGTACAGTGGGCCACATGCTGAGTACTGGGGGGCCACATGCGGCCCACATACCACTTGTTGGGTACCCAGGCTTTACTATCTTCGGTGTCTTGGTATTGCAATAAAACACAGATCTCTGTAAAAACCACTGTATTCAAAACTACAAAAAACAAGAACTGTTTTTATATACACTTTAAGCTTTTCCCACAATATCTAAAACCTCCAAAAATATATGTCTGGGTTCCTTAATTCATTATTTCTATTTAATGAAGAGGTGGTTTGGAGAAGATATAAAACGTCCTCAAAGTTACAGAAGAAGTCTAGCTTAATGTGACTAAATACTACTGGCTGTACCATGACCTGGATAAATGAGAACCTTCACAGACATAGCTAATGAGTCTTATTTTAGATTTAGTATCCAGTCAGTAAAAACAAGATCGGCTTTTTCATCAGGAGTCAAGAAAGCTCTAACAAGCTTTCCTTCACTGTTACTGATTTATAATTAACTTCAAGATCAAACACTTGTTACATGTACACGTCATCGCTACTTCTGGAAGCAAAGAGAATATACACGGTTTGCCGGACCGGATTATTCCCAAAGACCATTCATCCCTTACATACAGTATATTTGCATCTATTAGATTTTGGATACATTTATACTTTTTTTGTTATAGGTATATATATATCTATCTATCTATAGATTATATATATGTCATACACACGCATTGATTTTATATCATTTTCTTAGACTCTATCAGAAACTTTATTCAGTTTTCAAAGCTGTTTCATCAGATGGTGTTACACAAGCTTTTGACTTTTTCTGATTTGATCGAATTTTTTAAGAAGCCCTCAGCTGTTTTTTTTTCTCATTTAAATTTTATCAAACTGTTCAATAAGAGAATAATAATGTTTGTGTAGCCATGACATCAGAAAAGTTCCCATTCTCAGTCAATTACAGTCAACTTGTAAATGGGGGAAACTCATACTAAAGCTGGCCATAGACAGCCGAATTTTGGTAGTCTACTGTTGAATTGGCCAAAGATTGACCAATGGGTGGTCCTATCGGTACCATCCGGCTCAACAAAAGTCAATTGAAAAATGAGCCGGGTGAGAAATTGGCATCAAGGACACACTCCATGGGGGCACATCATCAAGCTTCCTGGATTCAAAGCAGAACGCTACATGGAATGGAGCCACATCATTAGGACCTGCCCACTGCTAGAGGAGGAAGAGGATATTACATGAGCAAACTAGGGAGATTTCCATACACTTCCTGTCTTGAAGGTAACATCTCTAAAAATTAAAGGGAATTCCCTTCCTATGTTGACCATACATGGCTTAAATTTCAGGTGATTCCTGCAGGTCACAATTCGAGCTGTGGGTTGCCATGTCAGAAGGCAAACCCCTAGGATGCACCAAATGTTAGGAGTGCACCACCAGCAAGTGCTCTGGCTGGTTCAAGCAGTGCACTCTCTCTCTCTACTGAGCTCTGTGCGGCATTTGATCCAGTCAGAGTGCCCCCAGGTGGTGCACTTCTAACTTCAGACATGTGCTGCCATTTAGGCAGGACAGAGGGTATTCACCTTCTTGGAGGCGCACGGCCTACAGGTATGGAGAAAAATCACCATTTATAGCAGCTGATCAATGGTTTGCAATGTGTTGGGAATGTTGTAATGCATGGGTAGGTTATAGAAAATGTGCTGTAAAGGTGAACTGACCCTTTTAGTGAACCTATTGCTTTGCTGTTCATGGACAAAGTACAAGTTCCCTTTAAAAAGTATGTAATAAGCCAGACTTAATATTTATTTTGGACAGAGCAGACAGTTGTCACCGACTCACTGGAACAATATGTCCCCATTGGAAGATGTCTGCTTTATTCTTGTTATGGTGGCATCAATTTTAGACATCAGGACATATAGAGAGGGTTAATCTCCCTAGTGTGGACACAGACAGCTGAAAAAATCTAACAACCCCCAACACACACAAACTCTTTCCAAAATTGAAAAAAAAAATTTCACTTTAAAAAGGTAAGGTGGAGTTTTTCCCTCTGGGGGGGCATACCCCTTAGGGGGCCTTTAGGTTCAGGGCTCCACCTAGATGGATCATGGCCCTGAACCTGTAAAGCACCCTGCAGCTGACCACCTGATGCACACAGTGCCCTGGAGGGCACTGAACACACGGTTTAGTAACATAGCACATTATGCCTTGTTTGCCTTGGAGCTTTATATAATGTTACAATTTTACAGTAGAAGTTCTAGTAAAATTGTAAATGTAAAAATAAAATGATACATTGAGCAATAGTCTTCTGGAGAGTAGAGTTGACCTCAGAGGAAAGGGTTTTATATGACACTTTAATTATACATACTGTGTCCTTTACAGTAGCTCAAACGAGGTTTGCCGGTATATGACAAAGGTCAGAATACAGATGTAATTGTTTCATACATCAAGAGGCCAGGAAAAAGTTTGGCTTTTTATATTTTCAATCTGTAACTTATTTCTGTTTTTCATTTTTAATGTTATATCTACATTTATTTTCCTTTTTTCATCTGTTTACAGGTGGGACATTGCAAGTAATACCCACAAAGGAACAGAATCCTGGCCAAAAAAATCACATTGGAACCTCAAATGTAAACCTGGAAGAAAATGTTCTAGGCAATTGGCTAAATATCTGTGTGCCAGTGAGCCCAATTCCAAAAAAGCTTACAAGGACAGCCAGAAATCTAATTCGACATATTTTAGCAGCTAGGAGGGCGATTTTAATGCTTGGCTATGCTAGCATCTACCTCTCCCAAATTATTATCTGTGAAAACAGGATTTACAGAAAAGAAACATATACAGGTTAATATGTGTGTCTTTTTTGCTGGTAAGGTGGTGAGGGCTTAGAAGAGAGTTCCCCAAAGTGTTCAATATTGACCACCAATGGTTGATGGGTCTATCCCACCGCAGCCACGCCCCCCGCCCACAGTGCAATCGCCCACATCTGGAACGTAGGCACTTTAGTGCCTGCGTTATGGTCCAGTGCGATTTGCAAAAGTAGTGCTTGCAGCATTTTTGCAGATCGCAGTGGACCGGAACGCATGCACTAATATGCCTGCGTTCCGGGTGATCACGCAGGCGGGGGGCGTGGCTGCGGTGCCATTGACTTCAATGCACCGCCACGCCGCCTCCTGCCCCTGAACGCAGGGAGCCGGCCGGCTTGCATTTCAGTGCGTTCCAGAGGCCGAACTCTGTGGAATGCAGACTTTGTGGTGTGGCCCTTAACCATTCCCTACTATGTCCAGTAATAGAAGAAAAAATAACTTTTGTCTTGCATACACTGTAAGTTGCATTATATAATGACAGTATAAGCAGGTTTACTCACCAATTTTAAGTGTTCCATTCTTTAGAAAGATGTTTTTTGTCTTTAAATCTCTATGCATAACAAGCCTGGAATCACAATAAAGAAAAGGTCTAATGAGAATATTAACAGCAGTAGGGAAAACGGCTGCAAATGTACCAAAACAGTAATGTTGTCAGACGCTATCTAGACAAAAAGGGCATTTGCTGCTTTTCTGAGCTAGAGACGCATCGACAAACATTTGTTCTCAGCTAGATGTAAGTTAGATTAAAAAACATGACATATTGTCTTATATTCCATCGACTTTTCCCATGGGAAGGTTCAAATGAAGAAGAAAAGCAGAATTCTAATGCAGAACACAAGAGAAAGAAAATATAAGAACAAAAATGGAAATTCTAGATTTTTTTTTTTAATCCTTCAGCTTTGACTAGTCATCGAATACGTAAAGGGTTATTAAACCCTCAGCTTTTTTGCATATATCTAATGCTAGCAAGCAGTAGATGTATGCAAAAAAAAAAGAAGTTTCCCAAGAGGTCTAAAATTACCTGTGTCTTCACCGTGTGCTCCCATCCGAAAATCAGAAACATCTCGGGCGGCCACAAAGGGTCTTGGGGCGGGCGGGCAAATGCGCAGTTCAGATTTTTGGGCGGGAGACGAGGAGAGACACAAGGTAAATCTATGGACAGCTGGCACCTGCATGCCAACACTGTGTTACAAGAGGTGCTAGCAAGCACAGAGGAGTCAGCGCTGGATTCTAGACACGCAGCAGCGCTGGAGGGACATCTGAAAATGACTGGAAAGAAGAAGAAGATTGGATTAAGAAGCATAATTTAAGGTAAGTGCTAACACTAACATGGGGGGAGGGAATTTTTTTTATACTTTAATGTCACTTTAAATATAATTTTTTTTAGAGCTGAACTCGTCAAACATCTAAATATGAAACAGTTTTCTTGCCAAAGCATTTGTAATTCTGTTAAGCCGGTTGAGATTGACACACCCCTGTCACACGGCAAGTGTACTCCCATTTTTTTGGTTCAGCAGTGGAACTTCCCATGGCATTAGATCACCAGACTAGCACCCCCCTACATAAAATCATTTCCTTTATTATAGCTCTTTAAAAACCAAATAGTTCAAAGTTCTGAACTTGGAATGAAAACATTTTGCAAGGCACATAGTCAAACCTTTTGAAGCTCTCTGATTCTTCTTCACTATGTTTTTTGTTACTCGCCAATGAATCAGAATGATCACCTCTGTCCGATGAGCACGGAAAGATCCAGGTAGAAGAAAATTGCAACCAAGCATTTGTAAAGCTGAACCAGGAAACTGTGTCTTCCTGGCTGTGCTTTCTGGCAGGAGTTTAATTCTATATGCCGTATAATAGATATTTCACATACCATTCCTAAACATTGCATTCCCTGTAACCATGCAACTTCTTGTCTAAAACAATTCCTTTTTGTGCCATAAAAATTGTGCTGGAACTGTTTTTGTGCAGAGCTTCCTCCACAGAAACCAATGCCCAACCCTAACTTCCCCTCACACTCAATCTTCTTGTAACCCTAACACCAGGGTCATCCCTATAATAAGGTAGCCTGAGGCGATTGCATCAGGGGGCATCTCACTGGGTCACACGGGGGTTGCCAAGCCTTTTTGGCCAGAGCATCCCAGGTTGCTAAGCTCAGCAACCTGGGATGCTCTGGCCGGTGTCCCATCCAGCTCACTGACTTCACTGGTTGCCAGAAGTTGAGAGGAAAGGTCTGGCTGGCGTCCCACCGAGCTCCTGGCAACCAGTAATGTCATTGAGCTGGGCGGGACACCATGCACCATGAGCCACCTCTCCTTTTCCCAGACCCGGACTGTTCACCACCACCCCATGAAGCGTGCACCACAAGCAACCCCCTGTCTTGCCTCAGCCGGCAAGACATTCAGGGACACCCCTGCCTAACACCAACCTTTCCTGTAACTCTAACACTTTCACTTCCTGTAGTCATAACATTAAGCTGCCAATACACGTTCAGAATTTTGTACGTCCAGGAATCACTGGAAATGTTTACAGTGTATGGCCCACCTGGCTCAAGAAAAGTTGATTACTCAGTCGGCTTTTGTTAAGAGAGCCTGGTCAAAAGTTGTAATCGAAACAGTGACTGCTGCCAATTAGTGGAGCTGATTAAATTAAAACCTGAAGTTGCTGATTTATAAATATCCCATATGCTGGGTGGATGCCATTCATATCCAGTCACAAGATGGAGATAAGGAGCATAGTAATTCCCATGCTCCTCTGCTTCATCTAGTGATGGAAATGCTGTGCAAACGGCATTCCTATAGCGTTTGGCTGAGCTGAAGATTTATCAATTGGCCCCCAAGTGTATGGCTAGCTTTACTGTTAAAATAGAATCTTTGGCATATATTGCATACATGAAAAATAGTTTGTGCAGTTCTTAATTTGCTTTCATTCATAAATACATATTGTACATACTGTACGTTATATTTGTAGCACTGATAAACCCCATTACAGATAAGGAAACCCAATCGTCTTCCAGTGCTGTGCCTCACCTCTCGTGAAGATAGTTAACACCTAGTAACAGTTGGATGAACCATTCCATGACGTGTCCTTCTGAGATTTCCAGTCCTTTATCTCTCTGCTGGTGAAGTTCATAGTGTAGATCTCCACCCTGGCAGACAATAGACAGTTAAAAGTTCCCTAGTACCATCTCTCATATGAAAAATACTAGGAGGTGATATATGTGAAAACAGCTCTGATAATACCAACCTTCAAGTGACACTAAACTCAAAAGTTAAATCTTAAAAATGCATTCAAGTCCCCTAACTATTAACAAAATGTATCTTATTTGTGTATCACTCAGCTGTAGATCCTCAAATCATCTCTGAATTGGTGATGACACTGTCCTTCCTTCTGGAGGGTGGCTACTTTTGTTCCCCATGGTCCCTGTGTGTGTTGTAAAGTTGTCACCGATCCAAGCTTGCTCCCGTGATGGACTACAATCTCACGCTTAGTTTACTAATTTGTATTGAGATTGTAGTCTATCACGGGAGCAAGCTTGGAGCGGTGACAACTTTACAACACACACACAGGGACCATGGGGAACCAAAGTGGCCATCCTCCAAAAGGAAGGACAGTGTCAGCACCAATTCAGAGATGATTTGAGGATCTACAGCCGAGTGATAAATAAATAAGATACGTGTGCGGGGTTGGGGGAGATGGAGTGTGCTGCTTTCTCTCTCTAGTCTATCTCACTATATTTTTTTTTTTCTCTTCTGTCCTTTCCTTTGGCTAATGTTTTCCTTTCAGTCTACTCTTTGCAGCAGTACTGCTGCATGTTCTCTGTTCGTTGAGTGGCTGGTGAATGGATGTTCTCACCGGCTACTACATTGTTGTGTTTGTTAAAAATATGAAAAACTCACAAGGTATTGCTGGGGCCCCACAATATATGTTTGAGATTATTGTTGCACTATATCTACTTGATTGCCAATGGTGTGTACTTTCTGTGATTGTAACTGCGGAGGACTCCGCCTATCCTGTACTTGGCTGTATCTGTGGTGTGGGCCTTGCTTGCCTTTATAAATAAAGAATTTGAAAAAAAATAAATAAATAAGATACATTTTTGTTAATAGTTAAGGTACTTGAATGTATTTTTAAGGTGTAACTGCTGAATTTTGTGTCACTTTCACATCACCGAAGGATATACAGCCATATATATTAAAGGACAACTATTAGGTCTTGTAAAGTCCATTATATATGGCAGAATGCACAAGGACAGGAGAATTTCCCAAAACGCTCCATGACCATTAAAAAGGTACGAAGCTACATAATGGGAGGGAGTGTTTATAATGGTGCCTGAACTAGAAGATGATCCTGGGATATAAGATGGGCAATATAAGATGGCCGTTATGCTGAATGAGAGAGGCTTTTTGAGTCCCCCATCCACGCTAAACCGCATGGCCAGAGGAATCTTCCATCCACGGTAATTGCAATCTTATAGCTGGCGCCTGCAACTTTCAGAATACTCCAACAGTGACTGCAGCTGATTAACTGACAATTTTCCACCCAGGTCCTTCAACAAAAGTTGACTGCTAAATCAGCTTTTGTCAAGCCAGGTAGTGCCAACAGGGCCAACCATGGGTGGAATTTCATCCGATTCTGCAGGAAACAGCCAAAATGCGACCGTGTATGGCCAACTCAATTCACAAAGTACCACATTTGGAAGTGCCCCATAATCTGTGACTGGTAATAGTAGTCTGTCCATGTTTACAGCACAGAACAGATTGGTGTACTCATCGCAACACAGCAATAGGGCAGAAGTACCATGGTGCCTCAAGAAAATGGAACATGAGATGGCCAATAAAGGCAGGGGACACTAAAGTATGTTACCATGCATGTAACACTAGTCACACAAACTACAGTCTGATTGTACCAGTCCCTTTAGATTTATCAAACAATAAATAGTACAAGAGCCCACTTGACTTGATGTAAATTGATTGGACAGTTTAGGTTCATCCTCATACGATATACTGAAGTTAAAGCAGATTGTATAGAGATTGTACAATCAGATGGCAATTTGTATAGCTAACTTTAGAAGCATCTGCGCTAACTTTATTTGTTAAAGACATAGTGGCAATGCCTTCACTGCCTTAAAGTAGACCTATACTTAAATGTTAACATATACCTAAGTGTAGTGAACATATTCCAGAACAGCAATTCAGGCACCATAAGGGATCACCGAATCCTGGGTTGATCCAGTTTGCCTAGTTTTACACTATTTGGTAATGTTGACTGTTGGCCCACCTCTCAGATGTTCTTATTGGCCACTGAGATCACCCATTATAAAGATGGTGCTATAGGGACTTATAAGTGTAGGTGAAGCCAGCCATCAACACCAAGAAGCATCAGACTTTGCAGATTGCAGTGGCCTGAGATTCTGGACTACTAGGCTGCAGAAGACCGTAAGTAAAGTGTCACTCCAGCCAACACTTGTTTTTAGTTTTGGCTAGAGTCGGGATGGGTGATACCCTTCATTAGGATACCCTTCATCAGATGGACAATGAGGGCAGGGGACACTAAAGGATCAAACTTTGCAAATTGCAGTGGCCTGAGATTCTGGGCTACTAGGCTGCAGAAGACCGTAAGTAAAGTGTCACTCCAGCCAACACTTGTTTTTAGTTTTGGCTAGAGTCGGGATGGGTGATACCCTTCATCAGATGGACTATGAGGGCAGGGGACGCTAAATTATGTTTTTAGTTTTGGCTAGAGTCGGGATGGGTGATACCCTTCATCAGGTTTAAACTAATATCTATGCCCAATCTGTGAGATTTCAAGCCATAAGGAAGTGGACATCTCCCCCCAAATTAGAAGAATCTGGTACCTCACAATACTCAGTCACGATGCAGAAATCCTCATTTTCCAGGAAGCTTCCCAAGAAGAGGACGATGAACGGGTGCCTAAGACTGCCCAGAAGCTTGGCCTCTCTAGCCGATGGGAGAGTGGCATCTGCCTTCACACTGTTACATGGGATTCTCTTGATGACCTTCCTGAAGTGCAAACACATTTAGAAAGAATAGGGTTAGTTTATTGGAATCTGTGGCCTGTTTCTATATCATTATAAGAATAAACCTGGATGACTATGCATGAGCTACTGATGAGCAAATCAGGTTCAACAGCCAGAAAAAAATGGCTTATTGTAAATGTGTAACTCTCATGGATGAATGAAGAGAAATGTAGTGAATGGAGATTGGTTGGATGCTCCAAAAATTGATTTCTGCTGATGCAATCATCACCGATAGATAGATAGATAGATAGATAGATAGATAGATAGATAGATAGATAGATAGATAGATAGATAGATACCCACACTAAAGGGAACCTGTCATAGCTTGTCTTACAGAACAATCTGAATAGGAACTGTTCTAGATTACTGGCAAAAAAAATTTACATTTACCCTTCACCTTATAATAATAACTTCAGATTGAGTGTCAAGGGTCACACAAAGTCTTATACTTGCTGACCTCCTGTGCCATCTCCCAGCTCCTAAGAGGGCATAACAATGTGACATAACTTGGACCCATATATAACAGAAATGTAAACAATTAATTGTTGCCTATAATTTCTCTTTAAAGAGTTTGCAGGGACTAACTGTCCAGAAAAGATCCATGTGACCCAGACATGTGCTTTAGACATTGCAGCATCTATTTACATATTCACCTTTCCTTCTCTCCCCTGCTGCTTTCTTCAGATGGTAAAATTCCTAGTAGTTCTGGCGATGGAGGAGCATGTGACTTACTCCCCTTCTTCTTATGTGACAGCGCTGACGCATGGTGATGGAGCCAGTGCCATCACATAGGGTCAAGAAAAGAAAGGCCTTGTGTAAGCTCTGACTAGAGTGACCTGGAGCTTACTTAGGGCGGTCTTTCTTCAGCCATGGTTACTGAACGGAGCAGTTGGGAAGTGGAGGATAGCCGAGTATGTGCAACTGGGAATTGTGGCAGACAAGCGAACCCATTTCTTTTTCTTGCTTGGGCACATCACAGGTCCACTTTAAGGATCATCATAGGTACCACAAGGAGGACAATCACATTATCCATGGTGGGCAGATATCTCATCAACAACAATGAAAAATAAAAGACCTGCCCAACGTAATTACAATCGTTGCCACAACCTTTTAGCATGACATGGGCTACTCTGTCCCCTAGAGCAGTGCTCCCCAACCTTTTTATTGACGCGGACCGGTGAACGTTTGATCATTTTACCGCGGCCCGCTGAGGGGGGGACGTTGATTGTTTATATTTTAGATTGTTTTGATTTAATAATTTTAATTTAATTGTATTTAAACATGCCTTCAAAATAAAATACAGTTACACCAAAAAATGAATATAAAGTGATTTAACATTTTAACTCACTGGTGTGTGGGAATCACCCGTCCCTGTCCCGATAAATCCATATTTCAAGTAGGACTCATGGTATTGTCTGTTAAAAGTTACATGTTTCTTTGATGTTCTTCTTCTGTCTGGGCCTTTTCTTTTTCCCAAGGAAACTTTCTAACGACGTCTGTTTCGTACTCATTTTTGCTAATTTGTGGGTTAAATTTGAGCAAACACAACATACACGTACACCAAGCACTGTTAAACATGAGAAAGTACCGTTGAACAGAGAGAAGAGCGATACACACCTTCTCTTTACCAAAGCTACAACGCCACTGCCGCTTGCAGCCGCTCAGCTCCAGACGTCACCTAAAACCGCCCCTATAGCACAATATTTTGCGCATGCGCGGTATTGGTGTGGCTTTAAGTGACGTCCCTCAGCTCCCGGTTAACCTCTCGTCCTGGAAAGTTGGACAAACCCGAGAGAAATACACCACAGTAAATAAAATGGAAATAATTTAATGTTCCTTGGGCGGCCCGGTACCATTTGATCCACGGACCGGTACCGGTCCGCGGCCCGGGGGTTGGGGACCACTGCCCTAGAGCACACAATCCGTTTCTATAGAGAAAGTGAAATAATCCTATTAAGATGGCAGAAACCTTCCAACAGCCTAAAAAATCTACAAGCCCTTCTGACACCTACGTAAGCTGATTTTCTTTAACCATTACATGGCACCATTAATAAATGTGATGCTTGGAAATGGAGCGTCAGACATGATTATTGCACCTTGTATCGTCACCACTACGCTGCAGTGTAGAAGCTAACTGATTCTGACAGGTCACTATAATTGACAAAATTAAACACTTAAGCCTACATTTTCCCCACTTCCTAAAAAGCTGTCGCGGCAGCTATGCTCTGGCACCCGGCTTTAGTCAAGCTGGAGACCATGACCAGCTCAATCCCGTCCTGGGGATCAATCACAGTCACTGACACTAATTGACCCACATTTGCTGAGGCAGAAATACATATTAGCACGGGCTAATCATGTTACATTATGAAGGTCCACAGAGGAAGCATCAGCACAAGGAAGAACGCAGAGGTCCTGATGCATAATACATATAGTACACACTATTTATATCTGTGTGCCACTTTTGCCCTAGTTCTGCACTTTGTCTCAGAGAGACAGCAGGAGCCTAGGAAGTTAAAGAGAGACTGAAAAGTTGGGTTTGGCTTTTTGGAGAGCTCAGCTGACTTTTAGGGGTCTATTCACGAAGCTGCCGAGTGAATGACCGATCTGAAGTGAAGTGAGCCGAAATACGGGTTCTATGGAATGGACAGGCTGGAACTTAAAGTGCAACTCCAGCTTAAATGTTACATTTAGTTTTGGATAAAGTAGGGGAGGGTTAGGACCTCGGTCAGGATTTATTGTTGCATGACCTTCCTGCAGAGATTTCCCAGAACACTTTTGTCACAGAAACTGGTAATTAAGTAAATTCTCTCTAGCAAGGTCAGGCAACAATAAATCCTAAAGGGGGTCTAACCTTCCCCCTACTGGACCTGTCCTACTGGAATGCACACAGGGCCAGCTTTACCATTAGGCGCCCTCCATTTGTCAAGATACAACACCTGCAATAGCAAGGAGGGTCCAAAACCAGCAGCACCTACAGAAAACGCTGGCTTCCGCAAATGCAGGGGAAGGACCCCGGCTCTGCGTAGGGCTGCCCTGTAAAACGCCTGTCTGATGCGGAGGCATCATTATGCAACGCTGGGTCTTTCTCTGCATATGTGAGAGCAGGCAGTTCCCGCAGCAGGTAAAGGCACCAGCTCAGGCTAAACAGATTTCCATTCGTGCCTACAGGCGCCTCAAATGGAAATCCGGCCCTGAATGCACAGCAATGAAAAACTAATGAGAGTTCTTGCCTTGCTCTACCTAAAATGTGTCTTTTATTGCTGACTATGAAGATGTTTCTTTCACTACCTGTGATTCATACAAAAAGGTACAGCCAGGAGGGTGACACCACAATCTGTGAAAGAGTTCAAGAACACACTGCTGTCACCTTCCTGCTTTTATATATACATACACACACACACACTGTATATACACACACACTGTATATACACACACACATACATGTACATACATATATACACACACACTGTGCATATTACTAGCTGGAGTTCTGCCTTAGTATCAGCCACAGAATATTTTTCTACACCTCTCATAATTGTATGCACTATGCAGGATCCCCATCTGCATGGCTCAGTCACATCCTATTTGTCTGAGCTGGAAGGGATTTACAGGACAATTCCTGTTCAATTTATTCTTCTGTTCTGCAAAGCGTCCCCAATAAGGAGTAACAAATTAGCATGTGCATTATGGGAGACAATAAAAGACATAAGACAAGCAGGGGAGGGAAAGGGGGAGCTCGGTGGAACTGAGGAAATGTGAGTGTCAGCTGAACAATGAGAGATTAGGACAATTCATGGCACCAGAAATAGATAACAGCCTTCAGATAAGGGACGTATGGAAGCTTGTTGAAAGACGGCCTCCAGCAACAGCCCTGATAGTCTAATATGGCTCTATAAGCTCATATTTCTGAAAAACTATAAAGGACTTTTTTTTGTTAAATCATCTGCTCAGCATATAGCTGGGTGAATGCCATTTGCATGCCAGTGCTGCCACTAGATGGAGCCGAGTAGTATATGGAACTCCAATGCTCCTTAGCACCATCTAATGGCAGCAGTGTAGTGTGAATGGCATTCGCCCAGATATATGCTGGGGGAAGATTTCTAAAGCAGCCCCTTAGTCATTTGGGTCTACAATGCCTGAATGTTAAATCTACCCAACAGTGAGATTTTACTTTTTGGCAGAGCCTGGTATGCTCAGCCCCTTGACTCACCTGTGAAGTCTGCCTGCCATAATTTCATAATAATATAAACGCCCCCTCCTCTCTCTGCTGGCGTCCATCACCAAGATGGCCGCCAGCAGGCATCAAAAAGACAACCACGCGTGCGTGATGACGTCATGGCGGGGTGTCACCTGGTCTCCGCTCTGGGTGACACCCAGCCTCGGTACGCCCCTGACGGATCATGTTAGCCTATGAGCAGGCGGATGCAAACAAACACACCTTTAACCTCTGATTCATCACATTCAGGTCCCCCCAAAAAAATTCTTCTGCTTTTTTTCACAGAATTGTGAATTGAAGCGCCACACTCCATTTAATAGTCCAGATCCATCTCTCTGCAATGTAGGGATGAGGGGACAGTATAGAAATAGCCAACGCATTTCAGGGGCTCATACAGAGCCATGTTATTTTATAGCCCCATACAGGCCCAAATGCATCTTTATGCAATGTAGGGTTGAGAGGACAGTATAGAAATATCCAACACATTTCCGGGACTCGTACAAATACCCCCTTCATCAGGGCTTACTGGGAGAGAAGGGAGAACATGTGTCAGGACAGTGATGGCTCGAAATTGGATACCATTTTGTCCAGTGTGTGAGAATGATAGAGCTTTAATTTAGCAGCCAAAGAATCCAAGCAGAACCTTTGTAACATCCATGTCCATGTACAGTATTATCCTCCATCTTAATAGACCCATTTTAGCCTATAGGCAGGCAGATGTACCTCCTATCAATCACATTTAGGGCCCAAAAAACAGATTGGATTGT